CGGGCCTGGCGTAAATCGTTAGCATCCATGCTTTTCACGCTGAAAGACTTGAGCTTAAATCTCACCCCGGACAAGTCACGAATGGCCTCAAATGTGATAAACAAAACAAATAGACAATAATCGTTAGTTCAACGACAGATGAACTTAAATTAAATTGTAAACAAGATGTTAACAGCAGAACTTCAAGTTAAGTTGCTTTCATTTAAAACGTCTTGACTGCATAATGAAAGCACAATACGATATCAGGCTTATGTCGCGACAATTGAAATCAAAATAAGTTTTCATTATGAAAGGAACTGCAAACTTAAATATCGATTTGCTTTCATTTTGAACCGACTTTGCTCGGGTTACGCGATCCGCAAAATCTCCCGTATTTTGATCGCTAAGTTTGGAAACCCTGGAACGTCAACGGAAGAATCAACAGGCAGCATTTGTTGCCAAGTTGTTGAATGGGTATGTTGACTGCGTGAGTCTTCTTTCGCTGTTAGATATCCGAGTGCCGCCAAGAACATTACGAAGTGGTATCCTACTCCAACCACGATACCATCGAACAGAACTGTTTGAATTTGGACAACCTTCTACTCGCTTTTTGACTCGAATCAGAAATGCATGAATGGTATAGTTTTTAAGATATTTCATGTAGACAACAGTCAGATGAATAGTTAAATATATAAATAAATACCTGTTAGGTTTATTGTACACTAAGAAATAACAGTTTTAAAAAAGGCACTTAAAGAAGAAGCGTGTTACAAAAAATGTACAGACATACAGACTCAGAAAATCATACCCAAAACCATGACGATCTATCTTGAATAGTTGAACAGCCCGCTGCCAATAGTTATGAAATTTTGATCTACATCCTGAAAATTACAGCTAAATTGAACTTAATTTGCAGGGAATACAGAATCACGAGTACTATTGAAAGATGACTGAAATCTTGATTGCTGGTTGATCACATATTCTACATTTACTGTTATGTCAACGAGATTCAGCACAGATCAAGCTGAACATTGCATTAGGTCCTAAGTAACATTGATCGATTCTCTTCATCGACTTTCTCTTTCGTTAATAACTTGAGCACATAACCGTTTCTTGTTGTTTTTGTCGTGTTAGATGCTAGATAAAAGCTTCTTTTACCGATCTGTGTGCTGAAAATACCTGAGAATGTCTTTACATGACTGTGGGGATACAAAGAGAAAGTCTACAAAGAGAATCTGTCAATGTTACTTGGACCTACACACTTAGATTTTTTACCGAGATGGGCACCACCGAGCAGCTGGGCTTTTTTTGACGTAGGACTACGTCTTTGATTTCTATATGGGGGTACACTTTGTGAAAACCGAAAATGGAACATGTAACAAATTAAGAAAGATTTTGAACGTTAATAACTCATCTGCCCCTGGTCCAATTTCAACAATTTTATCACCAATCGATTAGAAATATGGCTACGCATCGATAACAATGCTTTTGAAAGTTGATTTTCAACAAGAAACTATTGAAAAACTGGTAAATGTCCAGCATTGTTCAAAAGTGTCGAATTAACTAACAAATCCACCAATTACCTACTTGCATATGCTGCTTCCCCAGCACAGTCGTCAGAGAGTAGTAAGTAGACGAAACAAGTCGAAATGGCATTCGCCTCCGATCCTCGGGCGCGTGCGAATAGGGAGGATGGAATTGCGTAATATTTTGCACACTCATCGCCATACTCAGAACCACACGCTCCCAACGACCACACCACTATGTAGCAGCAGTAGCAGCAGTAGCAGTGCTTTCGGCGTGTGGCGTTGAAAATTGTTCTCCAGTAACAACGAAATGCTGCCTGTAAGCAGCGAGCTGCAGAGCCCACATAAGCAACCATCAAAGGAGCTGCACCGCTATGCTATGGATCGGAATCAGTAGCTCTTCGTGAGTCGCTGTGGGTCGGTCATCTATTGCGTGTCACCCTCGCTCCAAACGACATACAGCTCGACAGCCTCATCCGTGTTGAACACCCAGCTCAGAATTACTCAACCATTACTACAAAACGGTCCTTTTCAGGGCCACCAAAAATTTGTTAAAGAGTATTATTTGGACATTGGTCAAGGTCATCAGTTCCCGCAAGCAGCTAGCTAGCTATCAAGGCGCAACCTGTCTATAGAAGGTGGGGAATTGTAGGCCTGAATATATTGGTGCAATTAGTTTTTCCTCGGCTTTCATTCCGCACGATTCGTTTCTTTCGTTTAATCAATCACCCTTGTAAAGGGTGATACGGTCAAAATTTGGTCAAGGGAAAACGCGTGTAAATCGGTGAAATCGTTTATTTAAAAAATCAAATTAAATTTCTTTTTCAAGTTCAATTAGTATAAAATTCAGGAAAAATATTCAGTTAGGCTTCCGCTTTTCCAAATCCGAATTGCCGGGCCTTACGCTTGACCCCTGCCATCAGATTTTGTACAGCCACCTTGTCCACCTTCTTCGCCGCAGAAAGCCAGTTTGCCTTGAACTGCTGCTCGCCCTTAGCAGTTTTTTGGTCTTCTTTAGGTTCCGCTTGACAATAGCCCAGTATTTCTCAATTGGGCGGAGCTCTGGCGTGTTGGGAGGGTTCTTGTCCTTGGGAACCACCTGCACGTTGTTGGCGGCGTACCACTCCATGGCCTTTTTACCGTAATGGCAAAATGCCAAATCCGGCCAAAACAGTACGGAACAACCGTGTTTCTTCAGGAAAGGCAGCAGACGTTTATTCAAACACTCTTTCACGTAAATTTCTTGGTTGACAGTCCCGGAAGCTATGAAAATGCTGCTTTTCAAGCCACAGGTACAGATGGCTTGCCAAACCAGATATTTCTTTGCGAACTTTGACAGTTTCATGTGCTTGAAAACATCTGCTACCTTTCCCCTTCCTTTTGCCGTATAAAACTCCTGTCCCGGAAGCTGCTTGTAGTCGGCTTTGACGTAGGTTTCGTCGTCCATTACCACGCAGTCAAACTTCGTCAGCATCGTCGTGTACAGCCTCCGGGATCGCGCTTTGGCCGTCGTATTTTGTTTATCATCGCGATTTGGAGTCACTACCTTCTTGTAAGTCGATAGTCCGGCTCGTTTTTTGGCTCGATGCACGGTTGTAGACGATACACCCAGCTTATTTGCGGCATCTCGGAGAGAGAGGTTAGGGTTTCGCTTGAAACTACCGGCAACTCTCTTTGTCGTCTCAGCGGCTTCCGGTTTTCGATTTCCTCCCGATCCAGACTTCCTGGCTGTCGACAAACGTTCCCCAAACACTTTAATTACATTTGTAACGGTTGATTTGGCAACTTTTAGCGATTTTGCCAACTTTGCGTGCGAGTAGCTCGGATTTTCGCGATGCGCGAGCAAAATTTTGATACGCTGCTCTTCTTGCTTGGACGGCATTTTGACAACTGAAGAGTGAATTCCAAAATCAAAATAGGAGCAACATTCTAAACACACACACCTTCAAAATGAGGGGTGTTCAGGTTTTTTAAATGCAAAATTGAAAGAAATACGTCAAGTTGATATTGACCAAATTTTGACCGTATCACCCTTTAGTAACGCCGAAAAGATTGTTTCAATCGGCGCTTACATATGAAATTTATTGTGGATTATACAATTTTTTGTATGTTACCAAAATTTATGAATGGTTTGCCACTAAATGTTGAGATAATTTATTGATTATTGAATTATCACACTGTATACCATGAAAAAGCAGCCTGTTTGTGAGTTTTTGCCTGTTTTCAAGTAAGGAGTTATCATAAAAACAAATCACCAGCTGGTATTTCCCGGCGACTTTACAAATAAATAAAATCAAACAAAATCATCATGCAGAACTAGCTAGGATTTGTTTTACTTAATATTTCACAAAATTGCTTTCGAGTGTTAAGACATCGTCTCCCGCAAAGTTTCCATTTTTCCCTCTACCAACACATACATCAGGGCTAGATAGATTTCCACAGGATCTATAGAATCCCCGCGATTTAAAAAACTAAAATGCACAGCATACGAAAAGAGGTCAGGTTTCGACCAATAGCAGATAGATTTTAATTCTAAACAAGCCAAACGATTGGAAATTTATCTACCAATCTACTAAAATGAACACTTAGTTAATTTTCAATAGGTCACTATTGAAAAATACCAAATGTCCAACTGTTGCAATGGTGATCAAAATTATCACCGAATGTCTGAAAACAGTGCATTCCCTAACACAGACTTAAAAATCGAATTCGATGCGGTCCCATTTAACACCCAACAAACATTGCATGCAGAATAAGAGCTTATTCAGGCAAAAATTTGCTTCTTCAGCTATAAAATTGTTTATTCAGCCATTATTCAACTCAAATTGTTTGTTGGGCAGTGCTCATTCAATCACCGTAAGTGGTGGTGTCCAGTCCAGCAGCAGCAGTAGTAGCAGCAGCAGCAGCAGCAGCAGGAGTGTTTTCAACAACGAAAGGCTGCCTGCAAGCAGCGAGCTGCAGAGCTCATATGAGCAACCATAGAGGAGGAGGAAGAAGTCCCACGGATCTCAGTTGAAAATTTGCCGAGATCTCAGCTAACAAACATAAATGTTGCTGTATCTCGGCATTTTTTTCACTGAGATCTAGTAAAATAAAATGCCGAGCTGCTCGGTGGTGCCCATCTCGGAAAAAAAATCTAAGTGTGTAATACAATGTTCAGCTTGAGATATCAGAAAGTGGGAAATCACAAACTTTGGTAAATTGCTCTGAACGCCGGTTCTAAATTCTTGATTACATTCATTTGTTTCCATCAAATCAAAATAGTAATGTCACGGAATGTCTCACATCTTTTGAAAAATATTCACTCCATGTTTTATTCGCCTTAGCACACCCATTTTCTAATTAGCCCACTTATTCATTTTGCTCTCGTTATCACGCGTGCCTCAATTATGGTCGTAGCCAGGCGAGCAATATCTGCGTGAAGCTGGTGTAAGATATTAATTTCTCTTCTTTCCTTTTGTATCGTTTCTTCCTTTCAAAAAAAAAACAGAGCACACTTTTAACCATCACAAGAAAACGCCGCACCGCCCCGAAGTGGTCGGAAAAAGAACCGTTACCCTCCGCGCGCAGCTTCCATCAACAATGCTGTCGTGTTAAGCTCCACCAAGCATCGACGTTTGTTGGTCCATAATCTTCCTCCTCCCCAGGCCTGGCCCAGGCACCCTTCTCTACCGGAGTTCCGTCTGGATGGGCCCACTCCAGGTAGAATTTGGAAAGCAAACAAGAGAGGAATAGCAGATAATAGACGGTTGGTGCCATTGGCAGGAGGGGACACCGCTTAGTGCCGGACGGAAAACATCGGACCGCAGATATCTGAACCAATTGCAGGAAAGGGTGAATGAATCTCACCTGCGCCGGTCAACGTGTAACCGAAAACAACGAAAAGCTTGAAAATCGTAGGCTTTTCCGGAGCGTACGAAACACGACTCAAAGAAGGAATACCTCAAAAACAGAGCGAAACGTGGTTCCCTTGGGTGATGTCGAGGTGACCCATTGAGACGGAGAAGAGAGTTCACGATCGATCCACAACTAGTTTTTTGCCCCTCTGCCTCAAACATTCGTCGCGGGCTCAACCGTGCGCGATCGTGTAGTCTCGTCGCGGTTTCAGTCTCTTTTTGAAATTCCATCGATCAACAACAACGGCGTGGTGCGGGTAACTTGTTTGCTGCTTTCGAATTCCATATCGATTACGCCAGATCGCGCGCGAGTGGCTTCCTAGTGACGGATATGATCGTTTGAAGTGGTTTCGGAGTCTAGAAGCAATAAAGATGGAGAATAACTTGATTCGGGTGCTGGAAGGACAATATCTGGACGAACTGACCAGTGAGTTGTGTGACTTTTCGCTGGAAGAACAGAATGCGGCCACCGAGGCGCAAGGGGTCAAACCGCTGGCCTCTTCGGACTATGTCCCGATTGTGGGCAAAAGTGTGACCTACGTGGTAGCTTGTGTAATCATCAACGACAAAAACGAGGTGCTGATGATGCAAGAAGCGAAGGAATCGTGTGCAGGAAAGTGGTACCTACCAGCAGGTCGAATGGAACCCGGTGAAACGATCATGGAAGCTGGGGCACGAGAGGTCTTGGAGGAGACTGGACTTAAGGTCGATATAACAACGCTGCTGGCAGTAGAGTCAGCTGGGGGAACGTGGTTTAGGTTTGTGCTGACGGGAAGAGCAGTGGGTGGTGAACTCAAAACCCCTTCCCAAGCGGATCACGAATCCATACAAGCCAAATGGATTGGAAACCTAGACGAACTGAACCTCCGCGCTAACGATATTATCCCCATTATAGATTTGGCACGGAATCACAAACGTCGCATTCCCAAAGACCCCAGTTGGCACAGGGATATTCTACCGGCCAAGAAAGCTCACTATAAAAACTATCTCCGGGTAGTGGTTGCCATCAAGAACAAAACCACCAACCAAGTATTCATTCTTCTCAGCGAGAAAACGGCCTACCATTTCCCAACCGTGGAAATTCATCCCGGTCGCAGCATCCACTCTACCCTTAAAAAGTTCATGATCGAACTGTTTGGGGCCGACCTTCCGCAACATCGACCGCATGGAGTCCTGACCGTCGAGCATCATAGCACCAGTTCACAGGCCAATCCAACGGACGGGATCTGCCTTACTCTGTTGGTCATCTGTAGGCCCTCGATCGAAAGTGTGTCTCTCATTGGCAAGTGTATTTGGCACGAACTGAACAAGGAACTCAGCGCCCGGCTGGCGATGACCGTAGCGGCGAAAAATTCCACACTTTTACTACATGTCGTACGATAATGGAATAGGTAATGGGAGTTTGGCGCGCTATGGCTGCGACAGCAAGTGTGATCGTGGCAGCGTGAAAAAATGACAAATTTCTTTTTTTGGTACAATCGACGAATCTCGCCACGGGGAGAGTACCGTTTTATTTTTGCCAACCAACAAGAGAATCAATTTTTTTTTTAAATGTGTATGTGCAGCTTTAGTAGTGGAACTACCTGAACAAACGAGTGGAAAACCTCAAGAGAACAGCAATGTTAAGGGTACGAAACACCCAGAGGGTCGTATAAACTGATGATCTTTTTTTTTTGTTTTGCGCGATTGGAATCTCAATGCGATTTGGATTTTGTTTCGCTTCTTGTATTTTAATTTTGCGGTTTAGTGATGAGCCAGCAGAAACAGAAGTGAGCCAAATGAGGAAAAAAAAAGAGTACACCCGGAGAATTTTATGAAAGCTGAAATTGAAGAAATGAAAACAAGCAAACTGTTAATTTATTGCCACCACTCTGCTTATGCCGGTGGAAACTGAAGAGTCGTAAAAATTGGAGAAGAGAAACGAGATAAAAACATTACAAACGAATTATGCTACGGATCAACCGTGAAAATGAAGATAGTGCGGCAAACAAATGAGAAATACGAAGAAGACACTTAGCTTGAAAATTTATTTACAAAAAGCGAACAAACTTATATAAAGGATATAATAAAAAAAAAGCAATTAACAAAATGTGGTTTAGTAAGAGAATCGATTCTTTCATCCGAAAACACAGCAAGAGAACACAATTCCAGTCAATAAGCTCCGTCTCTCCTTCTGTCAAAGCGCAAAACATAATAACCTTTCCACCGTCATGCTTCAAAGTTAGTGCTAAACGATTGTAGCGGATCCGAGACTGTTTGTTCCCAGGACGAATATCTTTAGCGCCACCTCCGAAGAAGAGCACTAGTTGTTTCTAACAATGCCCGGCTAGATACTGACCCAATGAGCATGTTCTGAAATTAGTTTTCAGTTCCGGGAACAAGATTAACAGCAAATATATTATATTAGCAATATACTTTTTTTATTCCTCTTCTTCTTCTTCGCATTTCAAACTTATTGCTTAATTGTTTGATAAACATTGTGAAATATTTTCCTTTCAATCCGTCAGTGTGAACCCTTTGCTATTGCCGCGGATACACTTGTATGACAAACTATGAGCATGAACATTATTTGTATAATAAGTTATGAGCACATTCATGGTCACACTTCATAGTTTTTTTTTTGTACATTCAGACTATGAATGTATGATATACCTATATGATATCATATAATATAGGCTATCTTGATATCAAAATTCATACAAATGATTTCCAGTGAAAATTTTACGAATGAGTGCTCATTGTAAGACAGTTATGATTCTAAAGCTGCTTTGATAACCGCAGATGACACAAAAATCTGTATATTTTCTCTTTGAGACAGACAATGCAACACCTGGTAGATGATAGTAGATTATCACTCGTAGGGTTAACTACCCCATTTCCGGCCTATTAAGCACAACCCGCACTTAGTCTTTTTTAATCCAGCGCAGTTTAGCACCAAACGGAATGTTATTATTACTGATGGCTTCCAAATTTATTAACCTTTCCGTATGTACCGTAAGATTTGATAAAGAGAAACCAATCGTTGAGATATTGTCAAAAGTCTAACACTGCTTCTTGACGCCAAACTCGGCCTACAGATTCTAAACTCGGCCTAACGCATTGAAACGCTAATGAATTCACTTCGGCCTATCGGATGAAGATAAATTGATTCAGTCGGAGCGCTTCTTTTGTTTTTGGGAATAATGGGTGCAAACCTTCATATCACGTGTTCTCATTGACTTCGTTCGGTAGCTTATTAACTAAAGTATCGTACCAAACGCATAATTGACTTGTTAACTCTGTAATCATGGATTTATTTGAAGTTTGCTGCTCGATAGGCCCAAAATGGGCGATTAGGCCGAAGTAGTTCTCTACCCTATCTTATTTATATTACATTTAAGCATTTTTCAGATTTTTCTAGCTGAATTTATTGTTCACTCATTTTCTGATTTATTGATATTTATTGTAGATATTCTGAAAAAAAATGTGAAGGTTTTGTGTCAGTGGGCGAAGAAATATCAGCAATTTTTCACCGAGCGATTTTTCCCTCCACCATCCTAAAATAAAAATAAACCGTTAATACTATTCACAGCCTCATCATCATCCTTCTTACAACACTGAAGGAGTCATGGACGAATCTTCATTCTAATCTATGATTCCACACACTATAAATAACCTTTCACACATGAGAACCTCCTATCGATCAGAATGAATTGTGGAACAACGCAATTGTCAGGTGCAAGGGAGCAACAGGATCGAGATGATAACCCAAGTAACAAATCTAGAGCTGCTTGGCTATCTTCAAAATGTATAAAGGTTATATTGCAGCTGCAACCATTACCTACAGCTTTATGACGGTCATATGTATAAACGCTAGGGGGTTTCATGAGAATTTTTAAAGATATTATTATTTTAATGTATCAAAAATACGCAAAAATTGAGCACTTCTGAAAACTGTTGTACCATAGAGGTAACTCTCAGACCAGAAGGTCCCGAAGAAACGAGCTCAACTTTTTGGCTCAGCTCTGGTACTATCAACAATCAATACGAAACTAACGATTTTAAATTGGCTCACTACTTGACTAGCCTATTGGTCCCCAGCAAATCGATTAACGTACCCCATTCTAGTCAAAATTCTAATACTACACAATGTTGTTTTGATTTGCTATGAAAATTTGACAGATAAAATGAGAGTTTAGTGGATTTTCCTATGTTTCGAGGGGTGAATCGATTAGCTTGGGACCGAAGGTCCCGAAATAACGTGCTTAACTTTTTGGCTCAGCTCTGGTACTCTCTTCGGTCCCAAGCTAATCGATGCACTCCTCGAAACATAGGAAAATCCACTAACCCCTCATTTTATCTGTCAAACTTTCATTGCGAATCAAAACAAACATTGTGTAGTAATGGAATTTCGACTAGAATGGGGTACGTTAATCGATTTGCTTGGGACCAATAGGCTAGTCAAGTAGTGAGCCAATTTAGAATCGTTTGTTTCGAATTGATTGTTGGTTATACCCTGGGGGCAAGACAGCTTTCGATCATGAGTAAAACCGGAGTTAATTCTGAGTAACTCTGAGTAACTCACATTGCTCAATATCTTATATACACATAGCAACCTGATTGTTATATTGAAAATAATGTTGAAACCGATGCTGTCAAGCAAAGTAAGTTGACGTGCTTTCTTGGAATTTTTGTGTAGGGACTTTTGAGACGGTTCGATAGGTTCGGATTAGGCTAAATTAATTCAATTCTTAGAGCAATATAGTAAACGTTTATATATTTTTTTAAACTTCCAGAAACTCAATGAAAACGTAATTTACACAAATATATAAAAATAATAGCGTACATACAGGCTGCACGATTTTCAAAAAGATAAGAATACAGTGCCTTCCCATTATTGGTGACAAATGATTTTTGCATGTTATGCTGTCTATAAATTCATCGAAAGCTCCATTCAATTTATAATATTACTCGATCATTCTTTAGGGATTAGACGTTTGATATTTCATGAAATGTTGTGTGCTTGAGGAAATAAACATATGAGGCCGTGTTTCCAAAAACGGTACGGCACTGTTTATGGTTGTTGACCATGGCATGATTATTAATGTTAAGGTTCCACAAAGGGTAAATAATTTGTTTACTTCTTCATTTTGGAATATCCTTCTATATGTATTCACCATTAAATACATCCACTCACCCATGCTAATGGATCTTCACAATTGCTTGTTTTAATAAACTTTAATTCATTACTAGAGGCAATACATCTGGCAACACTTTTTTAATGATACATTTACGATTGCTGGCAAAGCGCTAAAGTTGAAGTGGTTTTCTTGGTGTTTAATTTTGTGTTTGTTTGTTGAGTTTTGAGAAGCAGTTGTTTTGAATTTCGTGTATTCGATTGTGTGTAATTGTGGTATGCTTCGAAGAACACAAGTAAGTAAATACAGTGAATGTGCTTTAGCCGGGAAGTTTTCGACCTAAAATCATGAAATAGGGTTAACTACCCCATTTCCGGCCTATTAAGCACAACCCGCGCTTAGTCTTTCTTAATCTAGCGCAGTTTAGTATCAAACAGAATGTTATTAAAACTGATGGCTTCCAAATTTATTTACCTTTCCGTATGTACCGTAAGATTTAATAAAGAGAAACCAATCATTGAGATATTGGCAAAAGTCTAACACTGCTTCTTGACGCCAAACTCGGCCTACGGATTCTAAACTCGGCCTAACGCATTGAAACGCCATTGAAACGCCAATGTATTCACTTCGGCCTATCGGATGAAGATAAAAATTGATTCGGTCGGAGCGCTTCTTTTGTTTTTGGGAATAATGGGTGCATACCTTCATATCACGCGTTCTCATTGACTTTGTTCCGTAGCTTATTAACTAAAGTATCGTACCAAACGCATAATTTACTGGTTAACTCTGAAATCATGGATTTATTTGATGTTTTCTGCTCGATAGGCCCAAAATGGGCGATTAAGCTGAAGTAGTTCTCTACCCTACATGTGTTAAATTTTTGTATTAATAATGTGTGAATATATGTGTATACGAATGATGATGATTGAAGAAAATTTAAAAAACAAGAAGAATACAAATTTAATTGTTGAACCTTAACAAACTCCACGAAGCTGGTCAGAGCTGACCTAATCTGGCCTAGAATCAGAAACTACATAATATGCTACAATCAGCAGTCAAGGACCAATTATATTGACCACGAAGGAAGTTTAAAGCTCAGGTTGTACCTCAGGTAACCGAAAAGGAGCATTCCCCTTTTGGAACGGGTCACTCCCGTCACTCTTGTATCGTCCTAGGCCATGTCAATGCTCACCAACGAGGGAAGGCGCCTGAAAGGCATCCAAGCCACACACAAAAGACAAGCCTCGTAAAACCGTCGTGCAGTCAAATCACCACAGGAGCATTTCGGTTGTCCACAATTCGATTTGTTAAACGAGCGATTCGATCTTTCAAATGGGCGAACAGATGCTTCAAACGAAAAATGCTGTCAGACGATATTTTCTTTGATCAGAAAATCGAGACTACTTTTGATCAATTTTGAGTAAATATGAGTAACTCAATAAAACAGCAAAAAAGGTTATCTTCCATTTAATTCCACTTAATTAATTTTGGTATCCATGACAGATACGTATTTCGACTACAATGTGCAGTCTTCATCAGTGTCATTCCCACTAAAGAACTTATCAAAATCTAACCCCCTTAAGTACTCATCCCCTAGGTAAAAAAAAGTCAAGATCATAGGTATAAAAATGAAACTACAATGTGTTGAATCGGAACCTACCTAACTAATAAAAACCAAAGATTTAAGTAAGCTAAAGGAGAAAAATCTATACAACTCTCTAATAAGGAAAATCCCCAAAGGCTTGGTAGCCATCATAATAAAGTAATGAAATTGGGTTGTTAGCGGAATGCTAAATAAAGTTCTTTAGTGGGAATGACACTGATGAAGACTGCACATTGTAGTCGAAATACGTATCTGTCATGGATACCAAAATTAATTAAGTGGAATTAAATGGAAGATAACCTTTTTTGCTGTTTTATTTAGCA